GGGGTGGACAAATCATACAGTAACCGGCCCTCTCCCATGGTAGAGCATGTTCAGGTGTCTAGTTCCTGGGCGACCAAGGTGCCTAGATTCTGGGCACCTTCGGCACCTCAGTCGCTGCTGAGCCATGGGTGAACGCAGGTTTCTTAATGGTTTGTCCACCCCGAGACTGGGTGACAAAGGTGCCTAGGAACTGGCACCCTAAAAAGTGGGGCGGGCGACAAAGGCGCCCAGTTTCTGGGCACCCCATATTGGGCACCCCATATTTAGAGTGTAGGGGCGGGCCGAGGGAGGGGAGCGCACCGCGGCTTCGCCTCGCGGCACCAGCGGCGGAACCAGAAGGGGAGCGTACCGAGGCCGGTCCACCTTAGGTTAGCCTTGCTGACTTAGGTTCACTTAGGTTTGCCCTGCTTAAGGTGTCCGAAAGTACCAGCCACAGAGGCGGGTCCAGACCTGCTTAGGTTCGGTTAGGTCAGCACCCCTCAAGATCATGACCTGCTTAGGCTACACCCGCTCAAGATCCCAACATGTCCAATAGTCCAATCCAGGGGAAAAGTGTCCAAAAGTCCAATCTATACTACTTGGCAGCCTCCATCGAGGAGTCGGCTCAGCGCCCCCTGCTGATGACCCGGAGCTCCTGCGGAGCTCATACCGACCCCCTTCCCCGTGTTAATGTTCTGTCGCTACTCCCTGATGAACTTGTGCGGGGGTGCGTGAGTATTGACACTCTTGTCCTTTCTGTTTGCAGCGCCCAGAGAGGGAAAGACTTAGGTGCTTTCCCTCCCCCCCCCCGGCTCCACCAGGCATCTGCTGCACCCCCACAGGCGTTGCAGCACCCCCTCAGGTTGCAGCCCTCCCTACCCACTTACGCCTGGCTCAGATTGAACTACAACTAGTGACTCTGCAGTATCAAGTCAATCAGCAGCAGCAACAGCCACAACAACTGCAGCTGCGTCAGCAATTGCAGCCTCGCCAGCAACAACAGTCGGATGACCCCTTTACTAGGCACCACCCCTAACTTCCGTGATAACGTAATTTCCGTGATCAAAACACCCGCTAAAAGTAGGGAATCCCTTAGGGCTCATATTTTTAGGAAGGTAGTACAAGGTTTTTACTATGAATACCATTGCCATAACTCTAGCATCATTCAGGAACCCAATAATGAAAAAAAAACTTAATTGGATATTAATATCCAATTTCTCACTTTCGGCAAATCAGAGACGTCAAAATCCCCCGAAACTGAGAATCGCTCGGGTTAATGTTTGCCAGCATCGTCGCAAAGAATCGTCTGAATAGCCGCCCAAATTGTTCCAGAGCTAATTCTTGCATCATGTGCCTGATTTCAACCTCATCTTCAATTAAATAAATTCAACGCTGCGCAGGCTCTTTTGTATGTCTCGTGAACTATTCCATCCACTGTTCGCAAGCGGTACGGCTCGGAATTGAAAGGTGTTGTTGCCATTGGTGCAAGCCGCCCAATAGTGTGGGTGTTACTGCGTCTCCAATTGTTTTCTTCATAGTATTTGACTCGCGACGCTCGCTGGGGGCTCCGCCCCCCAGACCCCCGCATGTGTGGGGCGCGCACCGAAGTATTTTAAGTAGTGACCAGAGACAGATTTTCTAAGGAGGTAAATGTACTGCTTTTTAGGGGGTCTATTTTACGCTTTACTGCTTTTGACCATGTATTTAAGCTACTTTTACTGCCCAAATAGACAGCTCGTATTGCATTGGCTACTGTGGCACAATACGTACATGCCTAATTTGCCTGATGTAAGGGAGATAGGGGTAATTCCGGACACTTCGATTTTCACTGGGTTTGAGTGAAGATAACTCAAAAGCCCGCCTTACAGAGGAAGATAATCAGTTAAAAATGATAATTCCAAATTCCAAGGTAGGAGGTCAAACCGTTTGACTGTGGTCGCTTACCGTGAAGTTCAGTCCCATGACTAAAATTATATCATATTATATGATCATTGGACTTTACTTTAGCGTTTCAGGAGTGCTCGTACGGCTCGCCGTGTTCTTACAATTGAACATCAAAGGTTTTCACTTCCTGTGGGGTAAATCCGGACAAGAGGGGCTATTTTCTTCAATTTCCCGCATAATGTTAAGGTAGTGCCACGGTGTGGCACGGTGTATGAAATTTTGCCGGAGTAGGGGAAGTCTTCAGAACACTGGGTATATTTCTAATTTGGCACCCTTCGCTATCTTGCAACCATCTGTGTCCATATTAGCACAAAAGCCATTTGGACCCATATTAAATTCTTTGTAGCGTTGGCTATCAAGCACATCTTCAATAGCATCTTCTTGATGTTTGGTTCGATTTTCACTATATTTCAGTAAATCAGCAATACCTGGTCTTTGCAAGAAATTCTTTAACTGGCATCTTAGACTTAGAGTTATATAATATTTTGCTTTGTTGGTTTCAATTGTTAAATCACATTGAGCATTGGGGCAAATGGAAAATTCGCCTTACTGTTTTTCCTTGCCAATGTAGCTACCGCACTGCGAGCAATAGACACGTTCAACAATGGCCGCATTGTTCCTTCCTAAAATACGCCAGAGCTCTTTCTTGGAGGTAGGAAAAGGCTTCCTTCCAAATGCAACATTTTTGGAGTCAAATGCATCAATAAGACTTTCATAAGTATGCTTGTGACGCATCATAAGGGCAAGGTCAAGCAACAACATTTCTCGCACTGTTGGTATTGCAGTAATAACCACTGGTTCATTAAGAGTCAAATTAAATAAGACAAGTGTGGGAGAAGGTTGGCGCAGCTCTCAAATCTAAATCAACATGATAGGATTTACGCCGGGGAGAAACCATTTAAGTGCACTACGTGCGGGAAAAAGTTTGCTAAGGTGTCGAATTTGAATCAGCACAATAAGACCCACTCCGAGGAGAAGCCTTGAGTGACGTAAGCATATGTGCGACTGGAGTTGCTTAGTGCGAGGGAAGCTCTGACTCAAGTTCCAGCAGCAAAGAATACTAGTTTGTTCAAATCGAGTTTAAATTCTCTTTCCAATTGGTTATGTTTTGAGTACTGCAAATTTCAAGTGTTTTTGATGTCTTGAAATACATGTTTGTCCAAATAATTTGCTTCTTATCATTTTAAATTTACCCAAATGCCTTCTTTTTAAACATGTAACTAGCCAGGGAACTGTCTGTTGTGCCCCTCCCCAATACTAATGGGAAGATTAATCATTAATTTTATTTCACTGTGAATTTTAAGAAGAGTTTTATTATTGGACAGTTTTGAGTCAATTTGTATAAGACAATCAAAGAATGTGTGTAGAGGGTAAGAGATACTAGTGTATATGTGAAAGGAAATCAAGGAGCAGAAGCAGTCTGGATAGTAGATTGTTTATATTTACAGTAAAGATGTCACTTCCCAGGGAACTGTCTGTTGTGCCTCTACCCAACCTATCAAATACACTGTTAAAAATCCACTGTAATATTACAACACAATCACCTACAGTAATGCTGTTAAATAACAACCGTATTGTTTTGTGTCAGAACGGGAAACCCATCCAGAAACAGCACTTTCGTTTCATAACAACTTCCTTGTCAAGAAACAATAGTGTAATCGTGATTGAAAACAGTTGTGTTGTCGTTGAACAAGTTTCATGTTTAGAAACAGCCTTTTGCAATCTTAAAACATACATTGTTGTCAGGTTACAAGGTCTTGTTTAATAACAGCACGATGAAATCAACACAAATGTCGGGAAGACATCGTCGAAGACTCCAAAGAAGCATTGTTTTATTACAATCGAACTGTCAGAAAACAGCACCGAGGGCTACAACATGCTTGTTATAAAACAAGGTGTGCTGCTATCAAACTTAACAGCATAAGTGCTGTTAATTTACAGCACTTTTTTTAACAGTGTAGACTAGTCGTTTATTTGTTTTGAAATTGTAATTTGTTGTTCTATTTTACTGTGCGGTTTTTAAGGTTTTCTTGTTTCAGTCATATTGTTTCACGATATGCTAATGTTGATAAAATTTCAAAATGTGTTGAAATACATTTGATATGTGGGTTCTGTGAGTGTTTATTCTTCTTCTACCTCAGAGCATCTAAAACTTGTAATCGAACAAGCGAGCCAGATTGGTTTCACTACCGCCCAACAACTAGTTGTCAGGGGCAACATCTATCCTTTATTATTCAGTTTTTGTAAGTGCGTAGTTTACTTGAGTGCTCACAGAGAGAACGCGACAACACAGTGGTCAGGAGGTTTTCGTAAGTGCTAACTATCATATGCAAAACATTGCATGTGTGACGAGAACGTGTCGAGACACGCCCGCATCACTTAGTGGATTCCAACAACTGTGGAGGAGTTGAAAGTCTTTCTGGGTATAACCATCCTCATGGGTCTCGTTTCACTGCCCCAGCTCGACCTACACTGGAGCAAGAACTAATCCGACATCTATGCTGTGCCCCTCATCAAAGCATCGATGAAGAAAGACCGCTTTTAGCTCATCCTCCGATCCATCCACTTCGTTGATGCTTCAGAAGCGCCCAACTGGGAAACATACACTGTTAGAAAAGATTGTTGAATTACGACAAAAGTTGCAACAACTTAGTCGTACCCAAACAACAAATTCATTCAAAATTAAAACGACTAAAACATCGTTCCAAAACAATTTCTACCGTTTCAGAAAAAACAGCTATTTAGTCGTTCAAAACGAGATCCCTGTTTTAAAATGACAAATCATTCACTAACGACAGAACTGAGCAGATCAAAAATTACATGAAAAAAATTTTAGTTCACTCAAAAAAAAAAAAAAATTTTTCCTTTAAAAAAGAATCTGAAAACTGCTTATGTTCCCCGGGACTCCACTGTCCATGCCCAGTTGCTTTGACCCCAGTTAAATTGTTTGCCTACCGCTGACTGCGCACTGCTTGAAGCCACCTGACCTGCTATGTCGCTGATGAAGAGCTTGCTGCTGCACTATGGAAGAGTGCATCCTGCCTTAGCTGAGCATGTTCTGTTTTTCTTTCTGCATGATGTCTCCACAAGATGCCTTCACTCTGCACTGCCTTGATTGTAAGAGCTCTCCTTAATAAAAATAGAACTTAAAAGCACTCAGTGGCTTGGTCAAGTGTGAGAACTAAATCTTTAACCTATTCTTGCACGTTTGTCTCTTGTCACGTTCAGGAGACAACGAAATACACTGCACTTCGAAGTTAGTGTTTATGGCTAGGCCACTGGGAAACTTCACAACATTCCATCAAGTTCTTTGTGGCAACACCAAAAAAAAGTCCCGCGGGCGTGGAAACGCATGATAGGGCCAAAGGTAATCCATGGGGAGTGAAACAGTCCATATCCCCTCACAAATTTTGCAAAACTTGGGGTGAAAACATTAAATTTGAGACGACAACGGTCACCCAAAAAAAAACACGCACACCGACCACCGTATATGAAAAATTTGACATGAGAGTAAATATGAGAAACAACAAGTTGACAAATGAAAGTGAAAGTAGAAGAGGGGAGCACCCCAATTTTTCATATTTACTCTCATGTCGAATTTTTTATATACGGTGGTCGGTGTGCGTGTGTTTGTTTTGGTGACCGTTGTCGTCTCAAATTTTAAAGTTTTCACCCCAAGTTTTGCTAAATTGTGAGGGGTATAGGACTGTTTCACTCCCCCTGGATTACCTTTGGCCCTATCATGCGTTTCCACGCCCGCGGGACGTTTTTTTTTGGTGTTGCCACAAAGAACTTGATGGAATGTTGTGAAGTTTCCCAGTGGCCTAGCCATCAAACAAAATTCGAAGTGCAGTGTATTTCGTTGTCTCCTGAACGTGACAAGAGACAAACGTGCAAAATAGGTTAAAGATTTAGTTCTCACACTTGACCAAGCCACTGAGTGCTTTTAAGTTCTATTTTTTTAAGCAGAGCTCTTACAATCAAAGCATGAGAGTGAAGGCATCTTGTGGAGACATCATGCAGAAAGCAAAACAGAACGTGCTCAGCTAAGGCAGGATGCACTCTTCCATAGTGCAGCAGCAAGCTCTTCACCAGCGACATAGCAGGTCAGTTGGCTTCAAGCAGTGCGCAGTCAGCGGTAGGCAAACAATTTAACTCGGGGCAAAGCAACTGGGCATGGACAGTGGAGTACCGGGAACATGTTTAAGCAGATTTCAGATTCTTTTTTAAAGGAATAATTTTTGTTTTTTTTAGTGAACTAAAATTTTTTTTTATGTAATTTTTGATCTGCTCAGTTCTGTCGTTAGTGAACGAGTTTGTCATTTTAAAACAGGGATCTCGTTTTTAAACGAGCTTTTTTTTTCATGATAAATTGTTAATCATTTATTGTTCCCAAACAAAAATTTTTGTTCACAAACAACTTTTTTGGGTTTCGACTAGTTTTTTTTAAACAAATCATGTCGTTTATAAACAACTCGTGTTAGAAAAAAATTAGCGACAAATTTGTCGTTAAATTACGACAAAATTTCTAACAGTGTATCTTCGTTGGTGTCTCATCAACAACAAGTTCCAAGGGGCCATTGAATTGGGTCGAAACCTGTGTCATTGACGAATCTAATGTTGCGTTCAGGGGACGAGTACCCTTAAGACAGTACCTGCCTATCAGAGCTCACAAGTACGGCACCAAGCTGTTCAAGCTTTGTTTGCCGTCTGCCTACACTCACAATTTTTGGATGAGCGACAGCGAAGCCTGTTACTCCAGTGGGGTTGAAAAGTTTTGTCTGTCTGCCTGTCCGTCTGTGAGTGTACACTATTCCCCCTGAACGGCTGGGCCGATCTGGCTGAGATTTTGCCTTGGCTCGCCACACGTCGAAATTCAGCTTTCTATTTCAATCTATCTTAACCATTGGTACTCGCTGCGTCATTGGTGTAGATTTTGATGACCAAATGCTATATTTTGAGGGGCTCACGCCCGTTTCTACGGCCTGTCTAGGAAAGCAGCCTGCCGAAGGCAGGTTAGCGCCGCAGGCCAAGGTAGGTGCATACGCCAGGCGTTGATGGTCGAAACTGGCGCAGCATCGCGAAGCCTGTTACGACAATACACGGTCTGGCGTACACCTACCTTGTAGGTTTAGTCGGAAGTGGTTTGAATCACTCAAAGCCTACCGTACAAAAGCACTACGTGGTTCCTATACGAGAAAAAGCTCAAGAAGAAGGCAGGGGCATCGGACTTATGCACACCTCTGAGAGAGTTCGCAACCTTGTATTAAAGGGTGGCTTCCCTGTAGACATTTTAGCTGGGGCTTTCAGCCCTCCAGAATTTAAAGAATTTGTTGCCAAAGAATGGTAAATTGAGGAACCTTTTCATGGGAGTACCTTTAAACAGTACAAAGAGCGCTAGCTTCTTCTTGCTAAGCCAATCTTAGTTGCGTTTCTTTGAGACAGGATTGCTTCTGAAGAAAACACCCTTGATGAAGCAATTACTCTAGTCAAAAATCATGATGACTTTTCCTGTATGCAAAAAACCCAATTTTTA